CCCCCCCGAAAAAACACCTTTATAGCAACTCAGGTATGAAATGTGTTTATAGCTGGAAATCACATGTGAATTATTTCAGAAGCAATTTCAAATGCAGAGAGTAATGAGCCTTTAACTTATTATATTATTAAAAAAATAATCAGTAATGAAACACTTATGGAATTAGTATTAAAGTAGAAATTCTACAAGCAAAAAAAATTTTTTTTAATACCAATCAATAGCTTGATTTTCTTTTAAGTTAGAACCAAGACATATGACTAAAAGTGGTCATTCTAAAAAATGGAGTAATTTTTTATTGTGCACCACATTATTTAGAAAATTTAAAAAATATATTTTGCCCTATATGATTATATGAGAAATGGTATTAAAAAAGACATATAAAGGTGGAATTGAGCATGTTCCTTATTTTCTTATACTAGCAAATGAGTGTCAGGCTGGGAATATCTGAAAGAGAAGTTACTTATTTAGTTGATCTCTACTGCTAAATAGGGATTCCCGATTTTTATAGTGAGCTTTAATTACTTGTGCAAATTAAATTACAGACAATTTTATCCTAAATGAAGGATGATTTTTTAAAATTTTTACTTTGGAATATGGGTTTGCATTTAAAATAATATACATTTGTACAAATTTCAAAAGTGTTTTCATATGTACTTTATGCCCCTTGATGCTATTATAACCCCATTAGGTTAGCAGAATCTAGAGTTATTATCTCTAATTTGCTGATGAGAAAATGAGACTCATAGAGACTAAAGTGTTCAAGTATCTTGGCTAATGACAGATACAGTACTAGAGTCTTTGTCTTTTGTTTTGAACTTGGCGTTTTTTCAGTTTATACCACCATTTCCATATCTGATGTTTGTCTTCAGACAAAAATACAAATTATGTCACCCTGATAAGTTTCATCTTTGGAGGTTCAGTTAGGTTGAATAATGGCCACCCAAACATATTAGGTGCTAATCCCTAGAACCTGGAAATGTAAATGCTACCTGATAAGAAAAAGGGTCTCACAGATGTGATTAAGTTAAAGATCTTGAGATGAGGAGATTATCCTGCATTATCTGAGTGAGCCCTAAATCCAGTCACAAGTGTCCTTTCAAGAGAGGCACTGGGAGATTTGACCAGACAGAAGGGTAGAAGACAGAGACACAGAGAAGGCAATGTGAGCACACAGGCTGAGTTTGGTGTGATACACCCATGAGTCAAGGAATGCCAGGAGCCACCAAAGCTGGAAGAGAGGCAAGGAACAGATTCTTCCCTAGGACCTTCAGAGGGAGGGTGGTCTTGCAGAAACACCTAGATTTTAGACCAGTAAAACCAGTGTTGAACTTCTGGCCCTCAGAAGTGTAAGAGAATGAATTACTTGTTTTAAGCCACCAAGGTTGTAGGGCTTGTTACACAGCCCTCGGAAACTAATAGAGATACTGTTCATGTTTTCCATTCCTTCTTCAATGCCATGCAATTGACTTGAACCTCCAGCGTAGGGCAGGTGAATTCAGAGGGACCTAAGGTTTGTCCGTTAAAGCTTTCCCAGAAGAGAGGATGGTTAAAATGCTAGGGTTTCCAAGCACTTCTCTACAAGGACTGTTCACTGAAAATTAATAAGGAATGTTGATAAATTTTAGAAAGAAGTATTTAAATGAAGTACTTATTATTAATTCATGTAAAAACAAAATCTTGTCGAAGATAAGCTGAAATGTACTGAATCCATCTAAGAAAAACTGATAGCTTTTATTGTGTATTTATTTGAATGCCCAAAATGCAAATTCCCAGTAAAGAAAGTTTTTTTCTTCTTTTTTCTTTATAGGAAACATGTTGCAGCTATCATGTCTGGAAATGTGTTTACAACCTAATCTCACCTATTCACTCTCTTCCTCAAATTTTTCTTTTGTGACTTTCCTGCAACCAGTAAGGGAAACTCAGACTATGATGGGAATTTCTCTAAATCACTCCAGCTTTCAAAACTTCACCAGGATGTGCCAAGACATCACAAGTGAATTTAAAATGTGCTCCTCGTGTTTGATTTGTGAATCCAAAGGAAACATGGATTTTATTTTTCAGGAACAAACATCAAAAGGTAAATGCAAAGAGAAAGTGAGAATAAAGTTTATCACAGATAAATGACTGTATTCTGTTTAAAAAGGTATTAATAATTAGTTAAGATGAGGTCAATAGGGTGGGCCCCAACCCAATTTGAATGGTGTCCTTATAAAAAGGGGAAATGTGGACACAGACCAGCACACAGGGAGAGTGCCGTGTGAAGAGAAAAGCAGAGAGGGTGATGTGTCTACAAGCCAAGGAATGCCAAGAGTGCTAGCAAACCACAGAAGCCTGGAGAGAGGCCTGGCACAGATCTTACCTGTATGGCCCTCAGAAAGCAGCAACTTGGCCAACACCTTCATCTAGGAAGTCTATCCTCTGGAACTATGAGACAATAAATTCCTGTTGCTTACGCCACCAGTTTATGGTGCTTCACGACATCAGCCCTAACAAATTAGTGCAGTGTAGGATGAGAAATTCTGTTGTGACAATTCTGAAAAATAAAATCTGTTCCACAAGTTGTCAGAGAAATATCTGTGCTTACTTTGAGATGCTTTGATTCAGTTTCAACCTTACTGTCCCTTGGTTTCCACAATCTTAAAAAATGTAAGCCCGTTAGTCATTTTTGGTGCAAGTGACTTCTTGTTTCTACCTTTTTATACAGGAAGGAAGGAAGAGATTTAGTTTTGAGTTGTATTGTTTTCTTACAATGTATTATTATTTTGCAAATAACATTTTCTTAATAATCTCTTTCCAGTTCTTATCATGAGAGGATCCATGGAAGTGAAGGCAAATGATTTTCATTCACCCTGTCAACATGTTAACTTCATGGTAGCTCCTACAGTTGACTACTTGGAGGACTATGACATTACCTGTAATCTAAAAACAGACACTACAAGTTCAACAATCATGAAGGAAAATCCAACCAAGGAAAAGTCTATAAACCATACTTGTGGAATTATGAACTACCTGAATAATTGTATACACATTTCTTTGTACCTAGAAATGGATGCAAAAAGTAAGTTTTAAAGGAAATTAGAGGGAAAAGAGAAATTATGTAAGGGCTATGACATTAACTTTGCTGAAAATCAAATAGTTGAAGGAGAATTTTATTGATGAAATAATATGGCTGGGAAAATGTTAGCCCTTTTATCTGTTTGTTTGTTTGTTTGTTTTTTCAAAATGTGCTTTTTATGGGACCCAACCGTACCTGGAGGCAGAAGAAGCATTTATGAGTTGTGATTTGAGGGTCACTAGAAAAGCACTCTGCCCTAGAAAAAATTCTGGACATGCCTACTAGCTATGCTTAAAGTAATATTACCACACTTGGGTATGAAAGGGTGAGATTTATTTTTAAATGTAAATATTCATGTACATCGTGATATGTTATTAATATCTTACTTTGAATTGTTTTAACATGTCCTTTCTTAGAGCTGAGAACCAGGCCTGCATGAAATGGAATCTTTGATGTAAAGCTGAGAAGATAGGCAGTGTGCAGATTCAGCACTTTGGGTCTTTGGATGAGCCCAAAAAGACAAAACTCACATGTATCTTAGTTCTCTTTAAGGCTGATTAGCTTCCTAGTCACCCTCTTCTGAATCACCAAAACTGACCCTTTTACTAGGCATTATGCCCTCACTTAGCCACAAAACCTACTCTTGAAGAGCATTTTATGATCTAACCATTTAACGAGTGCCTGCTGTATGCCACTTGGTATTCCAGGCGCTGGGGACACAAAGATAAATGAATGTAAAGCAATCATGCACTTGCTTGACAGGTGGGACAGGTGTTATTGTAGAGGAATTTGCTGTGCTTTTGGATGTTCTAGATGTACAGGAGCCTTTTAGATGACTTTAGAATGGTTTTTTTAAAACTTTAATTATTTTTAAAAAATATGTTTTTATTGATTTCAGAGAGAGGAAGGGAGAGGGAGAGAGAGATAGAAACATCAACGATGAGAGTCATTGATCAGCTGCCTCCTGCACACCCCCTGCTGGGGATCGAGCCAGCAACCGGGGACATGACCTGACCAGGAATCAAACCCTGACCTCCTGGTTCATAGGTTTGCACTCAACCACTGAGCCATGATGATTGGGTAAACTTTAATTATTTTTGACGCAACTATTTAAAAAATCATATTTATTTTAAAGAAAGCACAAATATATATGTATGCATTTTTTTAAAGTAAAATGTATGACTTCAGAGAAGTTTCTCCTCTGAGTTAGTTTGCCCAGGGCCCCTCAGCCTCTACACTTAGGAGGTATTTCAAGGTGTGTGTATGTATGGGGGGCGTGGGAGAGGATATAAGGTAGGTTTTGGAAAGGCTGCATAGGGAAGGTGACTATGATAACATCTGAAAGATAAAGAGGTTTGGATTATAGGTACTAAAACATTTATTTCAATGTACATTTATGTATCCATTTAATTACTTTTTATATTTTCTAAAACATAAAGGAAAAATAAGCATTTTTATTATTATGGTATTAAGAGGATTTATACTTGTGTTAATGTAAAAATCCATAAATTCTAGTCAGAGCGAAATGATAGTTAATTTTTGGGGTCCATAATTCAGAAAGATTACAGGGGTGCATAAGTAGGTAGTCTTGTATTCTGGAAGAACTATATTCATTTTGTTATGTGTAGAAGATTAAAACATTATTCATATTTTGCTCTGCTGTGCAAAGATTAATGTGACCTTCTTTAAAAGCCCTAGCCACCAGAAGATGAAACTAAATTTAGTCCAGTTTGGTAAATTTACTCTGAAACAATCATTTAAACTGTCTCTTTAAATTTTTTTTCAGATTCTTGTCTGTTTCTTCTTGGCTCTCTCCCAGATGGCTGCAGGGATGTGGGGCAGGTGCACAGCATGAGGCGTGGGGAGACACGCTCTTCTGTGTTCACACTGATGCTTTGGTAGCTGGGCTGGCTGGCTTGGCCTCCACTGTGCACATTCTGCTCTTGCAATATCAAATTGGTGAATGCATGGTTCTTTGTTTTATCGCTTCATCACTGCCCAGTGACACCTTTGTGGTTGGACCCACGTTGTTGGCTCTTGGTGGCAGTGTAAATCTTCTATTCCAGTTAATTGCATACTTTTATTTTGCTGAGTGAGAAATGCAAGTTTGGCAGTTGACTATCATGGAATGACATTGGGGAGGCTGAGTGCTGCCATCCTAGCCAATTTTTACCATTTCTCCACTTAGCTTCTTCTTTAAATAAATGTAATGTATATCTTCCCATGGAGGGGGTTCCTGAAGGGATATCCAGATCATGAACACCACAAGGGCAGTCATCCAAGGGTACAAATAAGTTATGTATTTTGCTAAGCTGAATAAATACTAGCTGTGTTTTGTGTGCATGAAAGAGTGTCCAGAGGATGATGTGGAAAGTCAGTAGGCAGTTGTGTCTTGAATATGATTAGGTCCCTTTTGTTTATGTCTCTGATTCCTGGGTCAGTTGGCCAGTGTGTCTCTATGGGACCAAAAGAGACCATACTAAGCTATTGCTGGATGGTGACTATCCTCCCCATGTGGCCTCACCATCATTTGAATGAACAAGTTTTTATCTGTATCTTCACTAAATTTAGGCTGACATAACTGCATGTTTAATTAATGCACACACGTGATCCGATCATCGCCTTGAGGGCCCCTGTGCAAAGGGGGTCTGGTTATTCTTCTGCCCTGACCTCTTTCACCTCCTATGCCTCAGCCCAGCCCTTTCTCTTTGTCTGTCTTTCCCTTTCTTCCTCGCCCTTCTCATACTCAAGCATCTTCCTTGATTTGAGGGTATAATTTTTGGCTGCTTGGCTATGTTGTGGTCTTAACCTGGTGATAGAAATGATAGTAAAACTAACACCAGCATGACCTGTAAGTGAAATTAACCCTAGGATTTTGGAACTAAATGGATCCATGGAAGCCACCTGATTAAGTTTCCTCATTTAATACCCTCATTTAATACATCAGGAAAGAATTCAGGAGAGCAAGTGACCCTATAAAGTGATGTTATATACTATTTAGCTTTTTAGTTAAGGGCAGAATATGTAGTAGAACCCAGCTGCACCACCACATAGCCTCCTATCTACCGCATTGTTTTATTGTATTTTCATAGTATTTTTTTCTTTGCAGATTTCTCTTGTTCCATGAAGATCACTTGGTATGTTTTAGTAATATTAGTTTTTATATTTTTTCTCATCCTCATTATCCACAAAATACTTGAAGTCCACAGGCGAATGCAGAAGTGGCAGAGTAAGTATTGAGAAATAAATCCATCATTTGGGATAATCCATTTAGTTTCAAGGAACTCCTAATCTTATCTATAGATTCAATTTTTTTTTAGTTTTTTTTTTAGTTCAATTTACCATTTACTGAGCACCCACTCTTTGTAAGTGGCAATTCTAGGAGTATAAGCATAAATAAGACACAATGCCAGCATTCAGGGAGCTTCATGTGTCTTTTTCCTACCCAGAAAAGTGAATAGAGGGGGAGGAAGACTGTACGAATCTAAAGGAGTTGATGGATTGAAGGTTGAGCAGGTGCCTAGTGGGAGTGAGGGCAGAAGAGAAGTAGAGGAACAGGGAGTGGAGTTAAAGAATCTTAGTGTTGGAAATCTTGAGCAGACTGGCTCCAGGTGATGAGTGGGATGGGAGTCACTTTTAATCAGTAAATTTTTGGCTGGGCTGAGCTAAAATATGGAACTAGAAATCAAGACAGTAGGGATGATATTAAAAATATTTAATGACTAGTACAACGCTCACCTGTCAGGATGGACACTGACTGTTAACTATTGTCATAGCCCTGCTGGTGTGTATCCATCCATATACTGGCTCCACTAGTGTGTGTCCATGAATATACTGGCTGAACAGCAAGCCTGATTGAAAGTAGTTGGTCTCTTAAAGACAAGAAAAAACTGTGTCATTATGAGACTAGGTTTTGGAGGTAGGTGGATATGTTAGAATCCTAGTACTGCCACTTACTAGTTATGTGACTTTGAGCAAGTTGCTTACTGTAGCTGAGTGTCCCTTTTTTCCTCTGTAAAACAAGACTGTAGTCACCAGTACCACACAGGGTTGAAGCAAAGATTGAACTAAAGAGATTATATAAGAAATTTGACACAATGACTAGAGCATGGTAATTCTCAATAAAGGAGAATAGTATTGTGCTGTTTATATTATTTCCCAAGGTTCTTATGTTCTTTACCAGAAAAGGCTGTTAGTCATTTCAGGTGCCAAACAAATAGTTGCCTCTAGGTTTGAATGAAAGTGCCATTAATTCTTTCAACTAAGTATTTGTTGCAAATATTTCTGAGAACAGTTTCATATCAAGTCTTGTTATTGATACCTTAGTATATAAGACCCCTAATGCATTGGTTAATAATAATAATAATGTATATTTGTAGAATAACCATTTCCAAAAGATTTTCACTAGATTCTCAAAGTATGAAAACAAGGCATGTGCTATTATTTTTATTTTATAGTTGGAAAAAAACAACAACTCTGAGCCTCAGGGAGGTTAAGTGTGTTGCCCAAAGTTATATAGCTAATGAAAAGTCAGTATTAAGACCCAGGGTGTTTCCAGTTTTGAAAATAATATTAGTTTAAACAAATGTATGTTATTTGTAAAGAGTACTTAGTTTTGAGTTTTTTAATCATTTTTTTCCCCATATAATAATGTATTGAGAAGGAGAGAAACTAAAAAGAAAATGTGACATTAAGTTCTTATGAACATCTACCCACATGACAGGCTTAATAGCTTTCAAAGGCTTGCTTTATAAATCCAAGTATACACAGTAATAAAAAAGGTCACATCATTTATGACATTAAGTATTATTAAATATACATTAAATATTCTGTATATGATATCTATGTACATATAATAATATAAATAAGATAACATTCTCTATATAAGAGCTGGGATTTTCATTAGGGGAGATGGCATAATGGCATTTATGACAGTGGAGAAGCCACTGGTTTTAGATAGAACCTGTATTTGTTTTGTTTTTCTAAAATATATCTTTATTGATTTCAGAGAGGGGAAAGAAGGGGGAGAGAGAGAGATAGAAACATCAATGATGAGAGAGTCATTGATCGGCTGCCTAGCCCGCAACCTGGGCATGTGCCCTGACTGGGAATCAAACCCTGATCGCCCGGATCCTAGGTCGATGCTCATCCGCTGAGCCACGCCCAGCGGGGCTAGAACCTGTATTTGTTAATAAAAAGTAACTTAAGGAAAACTTCTCAATGTCTTGCAATTCCAGGCCCTGTGTGAATGGCCCATTTTCCTTGGAAATCCTTTGACTCAACAGGGGAATCCATCTTTAAGAATGTGCCTGTTCACCATCTAAATATTTAATTTCTTTTCTTGGAATAGGTCATAAATACAAACCTTCATCTGATCTCTTAAGAAGGAGTCATTCTGAGAAACTTCGATCATTGAATACGCAGGTAATTTCAGGTGAGCTCTGTGAATGCAAACAGAACACTGCTCAGGAATTGCCAAAGCTCCACCATTTCAACGTAAACCCAAGATTGTGAGATCTGAACTCATTTGAATTAGCCTTGTCTCTGGAAGAAAGGAACCATGGGCAAATGATATGTAGTTTAATATGTCTTATTATCAGGGGACAGTTACAATCAAAACCACCTCCTTCAGTAATGGAAAGTTTGCTCAGTTGGCAAGAAGAAATTTATGTGGGTAGGCAGAGGAGAAAAAGCAATCTGGAATAAGTCTCAGATTTATTTTTAAATGAGACAAGATACCATTATTCCTCAGAATTGCAAGAAGTAATTGCAGAGCCGGCATGGTTTTTGCTGGAACCTTTACTTAGCAAAGGGCGTCATTGTGTAAAGAGAGCTTCTAATAGCCTCAATTAAAAAGTCCCCTGTCCTCTCCCAAGAAATAGAAATGGAATGAGGGAATCCTAATTAGAGCAGCAAGGGGGCTGTTAGCACAGATGCTGTGGTTCCATCTCTTTCAAACTGTGAAGCCTTCTGAATTCAAGCTGTCAAATCATATTAAAAAGAAAGAGGGGAATGTGACAGGGGCAAAGGCCTCTACATCATCAGGGAGAAGGAATATCCTTGAGCCATTGAAAATCACAGAATTATGAGTGATATTACTACAGCTCCTCATGCACAGTGAGCAGGCTTTGTGAGAAGTTACATAAGGAAACTTCATATCTGGTGTGTAAACGAACTGAAAGGAAATTGAACAAATCCTGAGCCCCCCACTGCAACTGCATCTGTAGCCACGTGGAGATTTGTATGGCATTTCGTTGGGGACTATGCTCTTGAGGCTTTTCTTAGCTATTTAAATTAGCAGGTATTGAGCCCCTCAGCTTGAGGAAAAATTGGATTGGGTGCACCTAAAGAGCTCACTTAAAAAAAAAAAAAAGATTTTCTGTTCTCAGCATTAGCAGTCAAATTATTAACCTATGTCTAATAATAAGCATTAGCTAAATCGTCAGTGGATACTAGATAAAGGTGGGGGAAGCGGGTGGAAAATTTGGGTGGTCAATGATCATTTTGTTTGGTTAATGAAATAAAAATTTCAGGGTTGTTTCCAAAGGCAAAATTAATTTTTAAAGGGAGAAAATGGCAGTTCCCTCGGTGTCCCCTCTTATCCATGACACACACCTGACTTCCGTGCCCCAGGGATGTTTTACCCTGGCTCTGTAGGGCTTTTTGGGTTGCCTCAGGGAATCCCAGTCCTTTCTCTTTTCAAGTCATAATTTTGAGCACGGCAGTCTTGTCTGAGAAAAAGTCAATAGTTCCCCCATCAACATAAATAACCGGGGGAATCACAAATTTAAAGTTCTAGCTAACCACAGGCCTGACCTCACACACTGTATTTATGAGCCTGTGATTTTCATTCACCAGAGAAACCTGCCTCAGCCATCCTTTCCCTTTAACCACCCTCACTAAAAATCCTCTGGCTTTATTACCAGGTATATAATATTAATGCTTAGAGCAGGCCAAGGGATGGTGGCCTTTTTAAAACGAAGAGTCCTTTTGAGGCTTAGCTCCTTAAAGGGGAGAAGAAGCAGATCCTTTCCTGTCTATTTATATTCCTTTAACCTAAGTGCAATTTTTCCTGCTCCCATTATAAGTTGCTCTTTCTGAGAGAGAAATGGAAAGGGAATAATGTCTCCCTCGAGTGCTGTTTTTAAGGCCTCTCTTTGTAATGATGGATTATAGGCAGCAGTGAGAATGGAAGGAAAAAAATGTGCCCACGTGGCTCTCTGCAGAAGCAGTAACACGAGTTTCAAAAAATGTAGTTCAAAGAGAACAGTGACTGCAGTCACATTCGGCGGAGCCGCGTGCTGTTGACTCTGGCCGCACGTTCTGGAATGTCTCTCCAGTTGTTCATGTGCTACAAATTCGGAATAGTCACACACGGACACACAGATCTACAGATAGGCTTCCACCCTCAAAGAGACAAGAGCGAAATGAGCAGAGATTCCCAAGACCCTGACACCGCACGGTGCCTGGCACGTAGTGAGGGCACAGCAGACACTGATGGGATAAATGAGTCTCGCTGCAGAAGAAGATGCTGAATAGACTCAAATCCCAAGCTTTCACCTGTCCCTAACGTTTTCTTCCTTGTTCTGAGAAGCGCCGTGCCACAGGGTGCCTGTCTTGGCACGAATCTGTTTTACACTTTAGTCATTCGACTATTACGTTCACCCGGGTGATGATTCCTGTCTTAGTCACCTTGGATCCTTGTCCCTGGCACGTAGCTCACGGACAATAAAAGCTTATTAAATCACACAGGCCCTCGGGGGAAATGTGTATAGAGTAAAAAGAGCAGATGAACAAGAAATGAATCTTGGGTCTGGGAAAAGTGAAACAAACAAAGAGCCAGAGAGTGATCAGAGGGAACATAATTCTACTTCATTAAAGAACACGTAACATACTTTATAGAATTGCTAAGGGTATCAGAGAATAATGAAAACCACTGACCATCTTGAAGAAGAGATTTTGAGGATTATGCAAAAGCGACTTGGAAATGTATCCTAGAAACAATCCTTAATGAGTTGACTACGTTTGGAGACCAAGGCCAGGGGCAGAAGCAGTAGACTAGGAGCCTGGAATATAAAGGGGAATGAAGAGAGGTCAGGCAGTCAAAATTACACCCAAGCTCACACCACAGGAAAGCTTTGGTGAGAATGCCCCCGCTGGTGTCACCACCACTGGATGCTCCCTCTGAGCTGCCAAAACTGCCCTAGAGCACCTGGTAGTTTTGCATCTCTGCCAGGATTGCCAGTCCCAAGGGCGAGGAGCTGATCGGCTGAGTGCAGGCCAGGAAGCCGAGAGTGGGAATGTCTGCCCTTCTNTCGGCTGAGTGCAGGCCAGGAAGCAGAGAGTGGGAATGTCTGCCCTTCTGGCTTTCTGCACACTTGCGAGTCCCCCTGAGATATCCTGCTGGACAGCCAATAAACACACATCCACACCCGTTTTCTGGGATTAGAGCTCCGTTTTCTGGGANGGAAGCCGAGAGTGGGAATGTCTGCCCTTCTGGCTTTCTGCACACTTGCGAGTCCCCCTGAGATATCCTGCTGGACAGCCGATAAACACACATCCACACCCGTTTTCTGGGATTAGAGCTCCACTTATTCCTGCTGCATGGGTCAGTTAAGGGGGTCATTTAGTCTCTCCATCAAAATGCTGAAATTTTTAAAACTTGAAATTCTTCACCTTCAAACATTCAACCCAAATCTATTGAATACTAACTACCCACCAGGCATTATGTTAAGTGTTGACACAGAGTGGCAGGTGCTACAGCACAGTTACTGCCTTCATAGAGCTGATGCCACAGTTAGGGAGATTCTGGTGGCCTTGTCAAAAAGGAAACCTATTAAACTATAAAAACTCATTAAGAAACTTTCAGATGCACATTTCTTTCACACACATCACTTTATTTTATTTTGTAAGAACCTCACTTTTTTTCCTGATGAGAAAATCGAAGCTATGAGAGTTTAAGTAACTGAGCCACAGCCAAGTCCTAGCAGAGTCAGGGCTCAAACTCAGTTTTGTACAATGGATGCACTTTCTAGCACCCCAATGGCAATGGCGAACTGGGGAGCTTACTTCTATGGATTCAAGCCACAGATCAAAGCTCTTCATGCTCTTTAACATTTAACACTGGAAACTGAGATAAGACATTTCCTCTATAAAGCTTGTGTGAGACATGTGAGTCATTCATGAAGGAACATTTCAGCAGTAGTCATTTCTTTGCTTTTTTTTAACCTTCACCTGAGGACATTTTTTCCATTGATTTTTAGAGAGAGGGGAAGGGAAGGAGAGGAAAAGAGAGGAAGAGAGAGAGAGAGAGAGAGAGAGAGAGGGAGGGAGAGAGAGAAATATTGATGTGAGAGAGACACATTGATTGGTTGCCTCCTGCAAACACCCGGACTGGGGCTGGGGATTGAACCTGGGACCGCTGGGTGGGTGGGCCGATGCTCTAACCACTGGGCAACACTGGCCAGGGCGGAAATGGTTTTTTGTAGTTAATGTGGGTGAGTTTATAGGGACCATGAAGGAAAGAAAATGGAATTTTATTGTGAAAGAATATTACTTAAATCATAGAGAGATAAATAAAGCAGACACGGAACAATAAAAAAAAGAGAGAGTATTACTACATGCCAATAATGGATGACCCAGTAATTTATATTACCCCAAAACAAAACTAATGGCACTGTAAAATTATAATTTGTAACATGTTTATGGCCAGTATAATAAAGATTAAGCAGGTTTCCATTTCCTGCAGAAGAGAAGATAAATTACTGGTGCCAGATGTCTAGCAACCAAGCAAGATAACACGAAAATTCAATTTTTACTTGCTTAACTATGATTTTTATGACTCTAAAAATACAGACTTGAGTTCATAAAACAGTAAAGGTTATAGCCATCTGCTTGGTTCCAGAATAGATAAAAATGCAGAGGGTAACTCTATGCAGGAAGAAATTCTTAAGTGTGAAGAATCTATCAGCAGAACAGGGTGATTTATTTTATTCATTCATCGAATGCCCCTATGTGACATTTATGCCAGGTATGAAAGAACTGATAATCAAGCTTATACAGATAAACATTTGCTCCATCTTTGCACAGAATCTCCCTGCCTCAACCACCTTGCCTCCCTTGCCACCCCCTGCAAACCTCCGCTCCTCCCACACTGCCTTTATCTAGTAAACTCCAACCCTGGCTCAACTGACACCTCCTCAGGGAAATCACCTGGGATCTCCCAGATTAGGTCAACTCCCCTTATTACATACCCTCAGAATACGACACATCTCTCTTTGTGGCAATTATTACTCTTGCTATTTATATATATATATGTATTTTTTTCTTTTTTCCCTCGCCCAGGGATATGTTTTTATTAATTTTAGAGAGAGAGGAAAAGAGGGAGAGAGAGAAAGAAACATCAATGTGAGAGAGAAACATTGCTCAGTTGCCTCCAGTACATGCCCTGACTGGGGATGGAACCTGCAACCTAGGTATGTACCCTGAGCAGAAATTGAACCCAAAACCTTTTGGTGTACAGGATGACAATCCAACCAACTGAACCCGGCCAGGGCTATTTGATAGTTTTATTTGATTGATGTCTCTCCCATGAGCCAGTTAGCTCATTGAGGTCAGGGACACTATTTTATAGTATTCATCATATATCCCAGCTCATAGAATCGTGCATATAAGGGCACATAGTAGGCACCCAATAAATATTTACCAAGTAAATACAACTCTACATTCACTATGTTGAAAGAACAGCTGCCACAAAGACCTTTTAAATACGTTCCTTCCCTAAATTATAACTTTTGTTAATGCCTATCCAAAATAATGAAAGGAAAATGCTTAAACACTTCATCAGTTTCATTCCTTGGATTATTAAGGATATTTGCAGTGTGAATGAACCGGAAACTGAGTCAATGGCTCAGAATATTGGCAGCTGTCTTGTTGAATGACGTTTTTCCCCCTCTTTAGCTGTTAATTATAGATAATTTTGCAGTAATTCATTTTCCTGTCCTCATTTGATTTTCACCTCATTTGATCGGCACCTGTGTGGCCTTCTGGCTCGTGGGCCGCAGCAGCCAGGCAGCCTCTGCCGGCAGGGTCCTGCCCTCACCCCACGGGTGTCTCGTGTAGGTGAATTTACCTGGTCCAGTGCCTTCTTCAGGCCTGTGGGCTCAGACTCCTATAATGGCAGCACGCTGACAAGGCTCCATTGTGTAATCCCGCTCACATCAATAGGTTTATGAAACCAGAAGGCCAATGTATTAATTCACAAAGAGTAATCCCATTGAGAGAAATACAACCCTAAATATTTCTGACAGCAAACACATGCGTTCTCTCTCCTTCGATAGAACCATAGGAGAAGCCAGATCATAGCCAAGGCTTGTTTGGTAGGTCTTAGAGTGGATTCCTTTGCCAACACAGCTTGAGGGCCTTCTTCCCTGGTTTAGGGGTGGCCTCATTGACTCACGTAACACAGCCCTTTCGACATCGAACAGGCCCGGGCCTGGGGATCATTTCTGAAGATGGCTTTGTATGTTTCTGTTCTTTTTATGGGTTGATTGGATAGATTAACTCTTGGAGGGCAATCTTATTTTCCTTTTCCCCAGATTCCAAGGTGGCACCCCAGTTGACTGCTTGTACTGTTTCTACCCATATCATTTTATTAAGAAAAATGAGGAACAAAGCAGTTAAATGACAGTTTTTCAGTCACTCAACACATCTTCTGGGGAATATAACTGTGCATAAAATACAGTCTTTGTACACAAGGAGGCAGACAAATAAGCAATTACAGCAAAATTGGATAAATTCACTATTGAGGACGTAGAGGTCAGAGGGTCTTATATTATATGGACACCTAAACTTGCTTGCTGCTCCTTGCTTTGTTTTTAGCTGTTTTGGCTTTCCAATGCAATAACCAAGTCAAACATGGTTGAACAAGTAGTTTTTGCGATAAGAGTATAAAAAATTGATGGGGCAAATTCTCTTAGCAGCCAAGAGAGCCTGGTAAGATGAAGAAGTTTTAGATATGCTTTCGCTGGGGGAGATGTACCTCGTCTTTGGCATGAAAACCATCAGGGACAAAGTGAAGAGCACAACTTGCAAGTTTCTGTCACTCAAAAATTACCTGGGGATCAAAAATTACCTTGGAAGGATGAAGTGAGATTAGTACCAGATGTCATAAATATAAAAAAAAAAACTTTTGAAAAGTGATAGAAATCTTTAAAAAAAATGATTCGAGGGCAACCTGGACATTGTCATGGGCGGTGTGATGGGGCTTTATTTGAGAATATAAGTTTTATTCGAGAACATGGAGTTTTATTTTTAATCAAAGTTTCTACTGCTGGAAATCCATTTTGTTCACTGGATTCAGCCAGGTCAAAACTCCAACTGGGGTTCTTTTCAAATTTTTAGGCTCTTCTGAGGTTCCTGAAAAAAGTCAAAGAAATGTTTGGCTCAGAGATTTGACAAATTCATGAAAAGACTTCTGTGAAGTTTTAAACTATGTCTGACTGCTTCAGCTAGTGTTGGTGAATTAATATTATTTGAAAGAAACTCTATTTCCCAGTGTAGAACAAAAAAAAAGTCCACCTGTTTAACTATTCTGAAAAAGTTATTAAAATGACACCTATATTACTTTTTGCCCTTTTATCAAATTTCAGAAGTTTTGCTATTAGCGTATAAGTTACATGACCCTGAGTACTAGAAGAGACAGAAGATAATGCCCCACTAGGGAGTTACTTTGGACTAGTCATCATTTGACAGATAACAGCTTTCTGCAGTAAAATATGGTTATGCCATGTTATAAAATATCATCAGATCAAATGAATAGGCAAATGCTGAGCAGTTTGGCTTTCCAACAAAAAGACCTGTTAATTTTCTTCAGTAATCATTTGGTTTCATGAATAGATTCTTTTGATATTTTAACCTGATTGTCTAAACAGTTATTTGCATGTTAAGTTCATTCTGAAGTTTTAAGGTACGTCAGAAGCATCTTGGACACCTGTAAACAGGCTACCCAACTTAAAACGTACAAGCCCTTTGAGTCAGCAGTTCCCTTTCTAGGAATGTGTCCTGGAGATGCACTTACATGGGAAAGAAATGACACATGTGCATTGTTTATTGCTAGTGTGTTCACAATGTCAAAAGATTAGACACAATTTAATTAGGAGGCTGTTTAGAGACATGATGATAGATTGAGTCTATGGAATGCAAGAAGTTGTAAAAAGGAATGAGAAGGGCTTATGTGGACAGATCTCTAAGATATATCCTTAAGTATATGTGTGTATAGTATGCTACCAAATTGTGTGAAGAATGACAAAAATAACATACATATGTATAAGAGTATAAATCTATCATCTATCTATCCATCCATCTATCATCTATCAATACACAAAAAAGAATAACCTTGGTTGCCAGTGGCAGAGGAAGGGAGGTATGTGATGCGGTGGGAAGTGATTGTCTGGGATATGGGGTAAGAGGGAGACTTTTCACTGAATATCCCTTCATAGTTTAAAATTTTTTAATTATGTGAATGCATTCTTTATTTAGAAAATTAAATTCAAAAATTAAGTTTTTCTTATTGAAAAGTTTTTTCTAGTTAAAAGAGTAAAATTCTTTTGGGTTCGATAGTATTTTTCCTTTGGTAAATATATCTTACCAGCGTTAATCATCTTCATGGACCAGAAGCATGGTGTTCTTGATTACACTCAAATCCTCCTTTTTGATTTCTCTTCTTAAGAAGTAACTTCCAGCTTCTCTTCATATTGTAGGTCACCTCATTTCCATCCGTGTTCAGGGTTTTGTATATAAAGCAGAGACATCTGGGAAGCAAAAGCTGCATGTATTACGTAGGACTAAAATATAAAAACTAGCAAAGCAAGGCCCCAGGCCCCAGTGGAACAAAAGAGATACCATTAAGCCATGGACATGATGTTTCATCTTCTAACTCGAAGTCAGCTGGAGATAATATTAGAAGAATTTGACGAGTCACATAGTCATAGTAAAGAAAGACAGACTAGAATCCACCTAATTTGTAACTTTGTTTCTTTGTAAAATTATCTCTGAAATAAAGGACATCATTAATATTCTTCTTTTGGATGCCTTTCAACAATATGCGATAGAAGGACATATTTGCAGTCAGTCTCCAAACTAAAATTCTGTTTTTGCTATTTGACATTGTACTTAAAAATTTTTTTTCTCTACTTTATTCCTTCTTAACTATGCTTCAGGGCTTGTCCCCAGGGAGTGGGAGCAGAGGAGTAATGAAAGGAAAGAAATAGAGTTGAGACAAGTGGGTTAAAGGTGTCAGAGCTGTAGGCAGGACATTCAGTGAATGGTGGAAACTGCCCAAATCCTTTCTAGATGGAGGCTTTCCTATTACACTACAAAATACTGTGTCTGTGTTTACATTGCTATTGACTAAATATAGACTAAAACAGCTCTCCTTCTTAAATAGTAGAGACCACGCAAAGGCTGCCCTCAACTCAGGCCAAGGAAGGGCTTTCTCCAATACCAGAGCTAGAAGTTCTTTCCACGATGCATGAGCACGAGCAGTATACACGGTGAGTCATGATTCGGCTTTACTGATGATTTGACTTTATTCATGATAAATGTGAAGAGATCCAAGGGGGTAAATGATATTTTAAACTACGTTTCTATCTGATAGTAGGAGAAAGTGATGAACTTGCAAAGTCAGCTAATACGAATTTGATTACATGAAGTAAAACGACTTGTTTCTCCAAGGTGTAGGAAGGACCAGTAAACTAATCTTTTAGTCTGTTAACAACGTGTGCCCCTGAACTGCTTGGCACTGTTTCCTGGGGTTGAGTAATAATTCCAGCAGGGCAATTTTATTTCAGTCAGAGCATGAGAAAAGAGAGAATGTAAATTTTTAAGGAAGAACTACCCACTGACTCTCAGTTACTGAAACTAAAAACTTCTCTAAATTTGACATGAGATCATCTAGATTAATGCACATTGACTCCCATGTATTTTAATTCAGAACTGTGGGCAGAAGTAGCTGTTATGTTAAAGGCACAATTGGTAGCCACTATAGTGGCAGAAGCTCGAGAAAATTATAGGTTTTCTGAGTCTTAGGCTGAGAAGTTTATTACCACTAACCACACTGTCTTCTTGGATATAATGGAGGCTCCATTGCATAACATAGGATTGGAAAGAGCCCTTACTTAATCAGTGACTTTAGGAAGATTTTTGGTGTTCTTATAAGACACTGTTTTGATAAATGGTTTTTAAATCGTGTTCCACTAATTCTTTTCAGGTAATACTTAAAACTTTTGTGTGATTAATATTGGTCCTTTTTTTCCTTCTTAATCTTCAGAATATCCTTCTGAAGTCCTCTGGCAATCTGGACCAAACCCTTTTGAAGAATACTCATAATTTTATTTTGGGAATGAGTTAACTGGTAAATATATGATTCCAGTTGAGGATGCACAATAGGAAATAGCAGGAATGCTGCCTGGTTGATGAAAACTAGCTCGGGAGCACTCATTGGACCCATGAGATCAAATATATGAGGGTTTTGTTTTTTTCAGGAAGCCATTATGAGTCATGGAAACAAGCCGATGAAACCCATGAAAATAGCAAGAGAATGCTTACTCTCCTTGTTTATCCATCATTATACAGCTTACAATGGCCCCGAGATTTTTGATTTTGAGGAATCAAAAACAAGGTCAAGAATGAAAATTTTTTCTCCCCTTGGCTCACGTTGCAGATTCTGATTTGATGGGTTTTCCTGCGCAGATGGACTGTTTCTCTTTGGCAAGTCACTTCAGAGGGCCAGGGTTGTTTGTTTATACATATGTTTGCATTTATAAATCTGGCCTCCTTTTGGCACTGAGGATGTTTAGAAAAATTCAAAGATACTAAAGTAAAATGAATTTAAGTGAAATACTAAGTGAAGCTTCAATATTTAAACCTAATAGCAAAATGTATCTTCTGATTCTTTTGTCTTTCATATTTTTATAGCTGTCATTGATGTCAGGAATAATTATAGTGATTAATTACAAGAAAAACACATAGAGATAGAGGGAAGTTCTTATCACTGAAAAATATAAAATTACTTTCCCAGAGTTAAGGTGGAATTTAATCTCCTGACATCATTATTTGGTTAAAATTGCTTAGCTGAGTAAGCTTCTGGACTTGGGAATTCTGCTAGTCTTACTTTTTCTTGTCTGTGTAGCCCTGATTCATAGATGATTCAGGCTCGAGTACGGAATATTCAGCAGTTTAGGGGTGTCACACTCCATGGGGTATGGCCATTATACAATTTCTGAGAAGCTATGTTACTGTTTCCTTGCACATCCCCTATTATGTTCAGACAAGTGCCTTGGGAATCAATGGGAACTCGGCTTACAAAAGGCATTAATTAAGCTTCAAGTTCTGCTGAATTGTGTCAGCTTTCTGGAAGCTAATTTCCCTTATTTATTAAAATAATAGATTTTAACACATACTATGAAGCATTCAAAGATATAATTGGCCTACTCTCTGCCCACAGGGCTTACATTCTGGTAGAGGAGATAAAACATGCATATCACTGGTTATAATACTAGACACAGTACGGTAAGGTAAGCGTGTCAGTTTCAGGCTCCATGCTTCCTGCTGAGAATTCACAGGCCAGTAGTATCTGTTAAAGTCTATTCTCTTTTCTGTCTACATCTTTCTTTCTCCAGCTATTGATGCTCTTCTGATGGATGGTGATTTTAGGATGAGTGGGAGTAAGTTCTTACATTTTTAAAATATAAGTAAGGCATGTTATTTGATTACCCTGGAGGAATGACAACCAAAAGATACATTTAAAAAAATCTGTGTGAACAAGTAATTCTGTACTTTAGTAAAGACAGGGTAGTGAAGAGGCTTCTGTGATTTGAAGGAAAAGATGAAGCATGCATTTATTAATAGGGGGAAAACAGAACATTTTGGCAAAAAATAGTACTTCATTAAATCTTACAGAAGAGTTATTTTCCACCCCCTTAGCGTTATGGCTGTTACCTGAAGAAAATGTGGAGATAATATTGCTGCTTACTAGGAGAATATCATTCTTTGGGTTTTTTAATTTTAAAATTTTTTTTATTTTTCAAAGGTAGGAGTGCTTTTATTTTGCAGGCCTGAAATGTGTAAGCCAAATGAAAGTAAATGGGGATACTTCGATCATTTGTATCAAGGTTCAAAGGTTTTCTATAGGCTGCAGGACATCTGTAGCTGTAGCTGCCTAGTGACCATATATGAAGGGCCTGTTAGAAGGTGAAGGGCAGATGGGCAGNCTAGTGACCATATATGAAGGGCCTGTTAGAAGGTGAAGGGCAGGTGGGCAGGCTGGAAACGCAGACAGGATTTCTATGTTGCAGTCTTGAGGTGCAATTCCTTCTTTGGGGAACCTCAGTTATTGTTCTCAAGGTTTTCAGCTGATTGGAAGAAACCCACCCACAGTATCATATCAAGGGTGATCTTCTTAAAGTCAACCCATTGCAGATGTTAGCTACATCTAGGAAATACCTTCACATCTTGTGCCAACATCTTGATTAATGTTTGATTGATCCATGGTACTGTAGCCTAGCCAAGCTGACCCAGAAAATTGACTGTCACAGAGGACAAAAATGTTTTAAACACTTCCTCACTAATTTTCCTTCCAGGGAAGTTTATCAGCCCCATTTTACAGATAAGGAAAACTCTTTGGGTTATTAGTTAAGATACTTTCATCTACAAATAACAGCAGGCCCTCTTCAAAATATCTTAAATGATAAGAAGTTTCATTATCTTATCTAACAGAAATTCTGAGTAGAGTGCTTCCAGGGTTAGTTAATTCAAGAACTCACATCATCAATCATCCAAGTTTTCTCCTCTCTTCTCTGCTGTCTTCAGCGTGTTGGCTTTTGTCTTTGGGATTTCCCTGTCACGATTGCAAGAAGCACTTGTGTCAAATGTTAGTACCACAGCAGCAATAATCATCACATTCTTATATGACAATATCCTTGTTAAGAGTAAAGAAACCTTAACAAGAAGTCCTCCCACCCCTCACCCAGGAGATTTTTCCTCATGTCAGAGCATCTAGAATTGGATCACAGACCCACCCGTAAACCAGCCAATGACAAGGGGATGGGACTGTCAGGATGTGAAGGATCAAGATTTGCCTGGTTCTTAAGGAGATGAGAAGAACTGACTATCAGAATGAAAACAGAGCCCTGTAAACATGGAGGAAGAGTGCCTGGGGACTCTCTGAATGCTCCTCCTTAATACCAAGGAGATGTGCAGAGAGAAACTGACTAAAAACAAAACAGAAGCTTGTATATCCCCCATAACAATCCCTTGAGATGTCCCTCAAGCATGTGTCATTTCCAAGCATTTTGTCATGGGTGTCCATGATGTTGTCATGGGGCCATTATCTCCCTCCAAAGATACACCTATTTTCAGATAGAAATGGCCCATCTATTTTCACATAGAAAAGTGTTATCAGTGTGTGATATGAAAGCAGACACAATTTTTGTAGTAAAGAGCTGCACAGTAGTCATTACCTTTCTCTCATAACCCTATACCAATTGCCTCTTAAGGAATTACGTCTCATCCATTGAATGATGTCTTCTTGGTGGGATTGTAAATCCAGGTTTCTTGCCCACTACCCAAGGAGTGGGACCTGAGCTGGACCCATTTGATCCTCTGTTTTGATTTCCAGGTGAAGTGACATGAAGGTGGAAAAAAATGAACAGAGCTCTTTCATTCCAGTGGCAGAGTTGAGTGGTTTCTGCTTTTAGATATCCCAATATACCCCCCCATGGCCACCAAACTGCCTTGGTTCTGAGCCTGATTCTCCAACCTTCCATTCAATTCTGTGAGCTATCAGTAATATTTTTGTACAAAGATCTTTTTCCTGCTTCAGTTTCCTGAGTTGGTTTCTGTTGCCTGCTGGATACAAAATCTATTTTATTTCATAAAGTCATAGGATAGCTCAGAAACTTTATAAATCATCTGGCTCAACCCTATTTTATAGCTGAAGAAAATTAAGCCCCAGAGGTTGAGGGTTTCACCCAAGATCACATCACAGAGCTCCTCAGTGACAGAACTTTGAATAAGACAAGGTCTCCTTTGCCCACGGCAGTTCAGTCTGCTTTTAATGTTAATCCATTTTTAGTATAACCCACAGTCTCTCTCTCTCCCCATCTCCCTCTCCAGCACTTAATAGAGAATAGTGACTTAAAAATCTTCATTTTTATTCCAAACTGATAATTTGCTTTGTGTAGTTTAAAAATGTGTTTCACAGATTGTCCTTTCAGAGATTTGGCATCTAGTAGAGACAAGCATCGGTTTATATCCTTATATGGAGCCTTAATTCTTTCCAGCTATCTTGAAATGTTTGGAAAGGAAGTGGTGTGCTCTAGGGAAACATATGGGCTAGGATTCTGACAGTGATTATTTACCATTTCTAAGTCTAGCTTCTAGCTGTGTGCATGTGGGGAGAATCTTCCTTGACTCACATGAAAAGATATATATCTGCTCTATTTTTTTCAGTTGCTGTAGGGCAGTCATAGCTCATACAACCACTGTCAAAATAGTCC